AACAGTCTGGAGGTTTTGAGTATATACAAGAAGGAAGATATAGAAGTGCAATCGGATTGCCTACTTTTGGTGCAAGCTCTAAAGGCGGGAAACTTGGAATTGGTCTTGGATACAAACTTTCTATTTTTGGATATTACGTTATTGACTGAAGATCGTGCACTTTCTTTTAATCATGTAAATAGATCTTGTAATGTTGCTGCTTACATGCTAGGCAAGACAGGTCTAAAAGAGTCTGGGTTGTTTGTCCAAGATCCACTTGAGTGGATTCAAGATTTGGCCAACCAAGACTTAATTAGACCTTAATTGTTATATCTTTTTGCACATTGTGGTTGTTTTATTATTAATGAATTCATCTTGCTAGTTTTTACCAAAAGAAAAAATCGATCCAATTTTGGCCGAATCCTATTATCTTATCCAAAGATTTGAAATAGAGGTATGCAAATCTAACAAAAATAAGATCAAACTTTGGATCATCTGGTCCATTTTCACCCCCTATTCTCCTATTACATTGTTGATATAGTGATTTCTGGCAAGTGGTGGCCATTAAAGCCTATCACTTCTAAATTTCTCCTGCGGGGTAATTATCTGCTCGAAACCAAGTTTCCACCCAACTACTAATGTGATAACAGCTTATGTCTTCAATCTCAAGAGCCAAAGGGTAAGGAACCAAATTGCTTTTGGAAACGGGCACCAAAGCATGAACCTAAAGTTTTATATTATCAACAATGTGTCTTTATAGACCGTGTATGATGTATTGTAATTATTAGTGCTTAACTTATAAATCATAATGCATCTCCTTGCCTATGCACCTTAGGCTATGTTTGGTTGCATGCATTTTTATTTGCACTAGTACAAATGCATGAGAGTGCAAATTCTCATTTAATTTTGTTTTGGGTGTTATTTTATTTTGTTTCATGTCTTAATTTACTTCATTTTTACTGCAATCAAACGAAATAAATTAAAATTTGAAACAAAAATAAGTTAAAATTTACACTCAAATCATTTGTACTTTCATAGTTTTAAATCAGGGCAAATTTATTCACATTGCAACGAAACAGAACCTTAACAAGTAAATTTGATGAATACAAAATGCCCGATCCAAATCTATATCTGATGAGGGAAGATTTGGCCCTCCACTAACATCATGACACATGGCATCTTGAAACAATTGGGTGACACCCAGAACCACCTAGGCGACAAATTGCCTTAGCCAAAATGATAGAGTCCCACTTAGCGACCTGGCACTGTCACCGACCTGGCGACCTGTCCCTAGTGCCTACCTGGCGACCTTCCCCTAGTGCCGACCTGGCAACCTGCCTCTAGCGCCGACCTAGTGACCTGCCTCTAGTGCCTACCTAGCGACCTGCCCCTGGTGCCGACCTGGCAACCTGCCTTTAGCGCCAACCTAGTGACCTGCTCCTAGCGCTGACCTGGCGACCTGCCCCTGGTGCCAACCTGGTGACCTAGCGACCTGCCTCCACCGCCGACTTGGCGACCTGCCTTTAGCGCTGACCTAGCAACCTACGAGACGTGCTCGCCGTCGATTTCTACATGCATCCCATCACTCTCGGGTCTCTCAAAAGTCAGCTCTCACACCGAATGTTTTGGGAGAAACCGAGTAAGGCGTAAAGATTGGCCTACGTGCACGACTACCTCTGAGGACTTCAGAGCAGTTAGGCATGTCCTCCCGGAGATCCCGGATGTGTTGCGTGATGCTCACTCCAAACAATGCCTATATAAAGGCCTTACCTCCAACTCCAAGGGATAGATGCGCAATTTAGTTCTCGTAGCTCTCCATCTCTCTCACATTTAGCTATCTTAAAATCTCTAATTCGCTAACTTAAGCATCGGAGTGCCCATCCCGGGTAAAGCAACCCGGGCACTCTGACACTGTCCTTGCAGGTCGTATCAGGGCCACCTCTCCAGCTCATCCCCATTCAGCTAGGCAACAGAGCCATCTCTCCAGCTCGTCACCACTCAGTTAGGTGTCAGAGCCACCTTCTAGGTAGGAACCATTCAGCTAGGCGTCCAAGCCACATTCCAGGTAGGAATTATTCAGCCAGGCATCCGAATCACCTGCCAGCTGAGGAGCTGCCAAAATGTGCATCATCAATATCTATACTATATATAAACGTGTTAATGTAGTGCGGAAGGTTTTTTGGACTGAAATTGCCCTCTATTTCTTTGTTTGAGGAAAGGTATAAAAGTCACTTTATTATAGCTTTGATGCCAGCTTTAATGGCTACTAAAATGCCCATATTTGTGTATTTAATCCATTCCTAATTGTAAGGGTTGATCCAAATCTATATCTATATTTTGCTCAAAAAATCTATATCTATACTATATATAAATGTGTCAATGTAGTGTGGAAGTTTTTTTGGATTAAAACCCTCTATTTCTTTATTTGAGGAAATGTATAAAAGTCACCTTAATATAGCTTCAATGTCAACTTTAATGGCTACTAAAATGCCCATATTTGTGTATTTAATCCATTCCTAATTGTAAGGGTTAAAAATGTAACTTTAATTATTACTTTCCACCTCATGTAATCTCCTCTAATTAAGCCTTAAGGTATTAAATCACATTTTCCTTTATTAAATCCTATATTTTTAAGTTATTTTTCACTAATAAATGCTACTATGTCACTATTTTTAACAATATAAATCCATATCTTTTAAAATCGACTCAAAAACAAAACCATTCTTTATCCAAGTCATGGTTAAGCAATTCAACCATTCAAATCAAATTGATCAATCTACGAAGTCATAGTAAGGTAATAAAATTTTTAAAATAGAAATAAATTAAAAAATTACAAATAATGTAGAAAAGTTAGACACATTTATGTAATCAAATTATTTTTATTGATAATAAAAACGAAATACATAATTTAGAACTAGCCAAAATAAAATGTAAAAATTAATAATAAATAGTTCAACTTTTGGGTTAAATATATTAAACTTTAATGCCATAAATAAATAATAAAAATTAATAAAATATAAAATTCAAAAATAAAAAATACATATGTTTTGCAAAAAAAAAATATTTAGACACATGCATAATATCATATATTTATCATGTTAAACAAAAAGTAAGTGAAAAATATCATAATTAGTTTTACACACAAAAACACAAAAAAATATAGTAAAAGTTGAACACCTCTATAATTTTATATTTACACTACTATTAAATTATGAATAAGATTATGGAATTTTCCTTTGACTAAAATACTCATTTTTTAATTTAGTCCCTATTTAATTGTGAGGTTTAAATTATAAATTAAACTACTCATTTTCATCACATCCAATCCACTCTATTTAAATCTTACATATTTTTTTTTGATAAATGAACAAAAAAAGATACACCAAAAAAATAAAAATTACAAAATGAATAATCTAGCCAAGTAGTAGGGGTGCAAATGGATCGGATCAGGATTCAATTTGATCCTTTTTGTCGTATTCGGGTATCCCCTGTCCAGATCTTCGGATTGGATCAGGCCATATAATAGGATCTGATAAAAAATTGGATTGAATTTGGATCACTCCCTATCTGATCCAATACATATATACATATATATATATATA